CAGTGTTCATTAGCTCGCTCAAGTCAACTTTAGGTATAAATAAGAAGTTCTACAAGGTTACTTATAACGTACTTTGACCTGGGTTAATCACAAAACAATAGTTACATAAAATTAAGGGGAGAACAATGCAGCATTGAGAGAAAACCGAAATCGACGGCAATTTGATCCATACATCCATCTACATCCGCTTTCCGCTAATATTGCTCATTTCTCACTTATTCTTATAGACTCATTAGCAATTACGTTGTGCTGCAATTGTGCTCTAAGGAAAATCCTTCGCCACAGAAAGTGTTGCCAATCTGTTTATATTCTGAAAGTAGCCATTTGCAGCAAATTAGTTGTTCCTTTCAATACTTAGTGTTATAGCAAATTTTTTGTAAACTTTGATAAAAGACGTGTAAAATAGTAAAGTAGTTGATAGAAAAAGTTGTATGCCACTCATGACGGAACATCCAACAAATAAACCGCTTTGTCCAAGTTCAGATATGAAACCTGCCATTGTTATTAAACGGATTCGGAACAATTCTCGTACTAAAATGAAGGAGTTTTGCTGAAATCATTTGTTAATAATCGGAAGCTATCTCGAGGTCAGTAAATGACGCTTCTACACGAAAAGAATAATTGATTTTCTCGCTGAAATCGGGACTGGTAGTCATCTGCAACATTCGATTTTCCACACATTCACATGCTGGGATGCATGATTGCTGAAATTAGAAGTCAGGTAGAGATAAAAATACTAAATAAGACATACATTGAAGTTTTCGGCATTTTCGTCAGTGATTTTATCGTAGTCTCTCACGATGACATATGGATCACAATTGGTGTATTGTTAAGGTATGGTAGCAAGCCTTTGAAATAAGGAACTGTACAATTTAGTGAGATACAAACATGCGTTGAATCCAATTATATATGAAACAAGAAGATTTTCCTGAACTATTGAGCAGATTAGCAATGTAACTGCCCATGTCCATGTACCATTACCTTGATGTATTTGTTTCATTGAACATCGGATTATGCGGCAACATTGAGAGACGTTTTTGAGCAAAACGTATGCGATTCCATTCGTAAAAATTCAGATAAACTCTTGGGGATGTTCCTACTTCTGGATAAGTGTCTCCAATGTACATAACTTGAGGCTAATTTATATTGG